AAATTGATTATTTTTAAAATTTAGATACTGTAACCATTGATTTCAAATATTAGTTAGTTCTCCTTTTAGTAGAAAAAAATCATCTTATTACTAATTAATATTCATTCAGGTCGAAATAAATTCTTATTGATCTGACAAAATAATGTTCTTATTAAATCACAATCATTGACAGAAGAAAACAAAAATCATTCAGCTCTAATAAAAGTATCACATAGGGATAAAACTACAATAGTAAAATATGTTCTTTAACTCTATTCTCGTTTTGGTACCAGTGTTGTTCGTCTTGTTGGAAATGTTCCTTGTTGTGGTGGACGTGGCATTTTGTCAAGAACTAAATACTGTTGATAATAATCATTAAATAATGTTACCATAGTACTATTAAATAAAAATTTAAGTAGTTTATTAAATATTTTCCAATTGTTTGCTTCTAACATTTCATCATGCTTTAAATGTGCATCATTAAACTGATTAAATTCATCTCGATTCCATTGAAAGAATAGATCTGCACGATCAAGACGATCACCACGATTACGTTCACTTATATTAAAAGTTGGATGTCTTTCCAGATAATCAATTAACAACATTGAACATAAAACTTGATCCATATACCAAGCTTCATCACCTTTATCCATATTTTTATCATAAACTCCTTTGAATTCATGTCGTCCATATAAAGTTATAGTATCAAATGAAAAAGAAGCATTATTTTCACTCAATAAATCTAGAGTATGGTTATCGGCATTAACGAGAAGTTCGGTACGTTGTTTAGATTCCATAACTATTGCACGCCATACTTTCTTTTGTAAAAATATATGACCCACTAGAAAAGAAATAACATCAGATTTGTCTAGTTACTTGTTATAAATATTAAATAGTAGTTTCGTCAGCAAGAATTAAAGAGCGAAATTTATTGGGTCTAAGAATTTTTGAATTTGATTATATATCTATGTATTTAATGTGTAACTTACTTGGATACATTTTATAATTTCTTCCTCGTCGTTTAAATGTTCCACAACAAAAAGCATTAAAAATAAAACCATTTGTTCCAGGTGTTGGTTTGTATCTGCTAGCATCAAGTGGCCATAAATCACTGTCAGTAGTCAAAATATAATCTTCATCTTGAACAATATCATTCGGTAAAAATCCCGAAAAAACTCGTACTAATTGAGATAATTTAATTGAATATGATTCAGGACATTGAAAATCAAGAACATGTGCACCTAAACGTTTTAAATAATTTCGTGATAAATTTAATCGACCTGTAAGAACATTTGATTTTTTAAAATCTCCAACAAAAATAACAATAGGTTGATAACCAATACGTTGCCAACTAGCAGCGGTTAATGGTGCATAAAATGCATAAGCTTTTACGTATGAATGAATTGAACAAGCAAATATAGCAAAACGACGATTTTCTGGTGATGAATATTTTGATTTTTGTATTTTATTAGTTATAATTTGATGTAAAAATGTCCAATTTAATATTGTACGTGAGTAAAGTATAAATGTAATAATGCATAATAAAATACATAGTATAATAAATATTTTTTTCATTCGCTTTGATGTAGCCTAGAAAAATATTTGTTAATATGTTATTCAATAGTAGAAATAGATAAAGCATATATTCATGTTTGTTTGTTTATCTTATTTAGTATTTACCGATTGATTTGTTGAAGGTATGGATTTAATCACTGTCATATTTATGAGTAGATTATTACTATTACTTCTAGAAAAGACGTGTATGTCATCAAACACAAGTTGTGAATGATGGAAAATGAATAATATTCAACAGAAAAGAAAAAAAAGCGAGAAATGAAATTTTACTATAAAGACAGTATAGTAACCGACAGAATAATAAAGTTTAACAAAGAATAAGTGTACGTATGTACAACAGTGCAAAAATTCATGTAGAAGAATCGAAAAATTTTATTTCCAACTAAACTGCAACAAAAAAAGTAAACGAACAACAAAAACAGAACACATTAGATTTTTTTTACTACCGTCATAACAACAAATTCTATTGAAAAAGTGTTGTTCATTTTTCTTCTTTTCATTCAATAAAATGCTACCTTTTTTTTATCAAATATAAACTCGCAATGAGCTGCAAACTGAGAAAATATCGATATGCATGATCAAAAAATCTTGAGGGTGTGGTGTTAATGTGAGTATGGAGATTCTTCTCATTCATCATTCACACCCACGAAAAGAAAAAAAGAGGAATAGATCGTACTTTTATGACGAGTGGTATAATAAGTTCATCATCATAAAATATTTGACTACATCACTTCTGTAAGACAACTAGATAAGTTTTCAGAATTCATCTATCCACATTACATTAGTCGTGAAAAAGAGAAGAGAGTAAAAAAATTTCTATATTTTGAAAAAGATATTTTCTGAAGTTAAAAATTAGTTTTCATAAACATCAGTTTTCACAAGAATTTAAAAAAGCACGAGAATTAATCTTTTATTTGAGCCTTATATTGTTCGTATCTTGTATATGTAAATGGGCATACATATTTGCGTCATATAAATAAATGACGCAAACAAGTATTGAATATAGTACGAATTGAAAAAAACAGTGAAGTTTATATATAATGAAATGAAGATCAATAAATTATTAGTTATAAAAAAAATGATTATAAATTGTACTACTATAGATTATTTTGTATTATTTATTTGAATAAATCAAATTGAAAAAAATGAAAAAAGATTATCAATATACTTCAACATCCTTTGAGAATGCATTTTCACCTTTATCCCACTTGTATATTTTTTGCTATTTTTACTCATCATTGATTGTTCATCCGTGACCAACTAATGACGTTTGCAGCTATATTTAAATGATAATCGAGCGATAGTTATAATCATTTACACATTTCAAACGTTCGAAAATCTATAAATATCAATGGCTTATTACGGTAGTGGATACGTTGCTCCAAGTGGAAGTGTTTTTGGCGGATACCTTGGTGGTTATAATCAAAGTATTAACTCTTTTTTTTTGTATTTTCAGTATTCATGTTTAATTAATTAAATATATCTATTTATTTATTTTTAGCTCCAGAAGGTTTTGTTTTTCCTTCAAATACAAATACTATAGGACTTGGCTATTCAACTGTGTCGGATCTAGATCCAATTAATTATTATCCTGGTGTTGCTCATTATTGGCCATCATCTGCACTTATTGAATCACAACCGGTCATTACTCCAATAAGTAGTGGATTTCTTGATCCGAATTTTGGTATTATTAGTGAACTGTAAATAAGACAAAAATGTTTATTTTCATATACATGTAAATTAATAAACAAGCATTTTATATTTTAAGAAAATAAAGAAAATATTTATACTTGTACTAAACTCATCGACATATTGTTCGATCTTGTTGATATATTTCATAATTTCTAGTTCAGTTGAACAGAAAAATTCAGTATTATTATCGATCATATTCATTCAGTTGAAATTTTTTTATTATCATCAATAATTTGAATTGTTTTTTTACTTAAAACAGTATTTTTTCCTTATCGTCTCTTATGTTCTGTATTTTTATTATTTTCATCGTTGGATTGACTCATATGGTCATGTCTTACGTTGTAATTACGCAAGAGAAAGAAAAGAAATGGTTTAACTCTATAAAAGATGACATATTTTTTTACATTCTATCGTTTGTAATTATATGAAGTGAGTTGTGTTTTGTGCTATTTAAGAATACTAATGACCAATAGTGAAAAACAATCAGATGAAATTTTTGCATTACAATCAATATTTGATAAAAAATGTCATCTTGTTAATAATGATCAATATGAAATATCGATTGAATTTAATCTCAATACACCGATTACCATTCAATTTAATAATCAAACAGCTATTATTCAATATTTACCACCATTGACTCTTATTATTCATTATCATGATGAATATCCAAGTGATTACCCACCATCATTTATTCTTTCATGTTTTTATTTTTCTAAAATTAATCTACAAAAACTTTGTCAAAAACTTGATAATTATCCATTTCATCAAGGCGAAGTATGTGTTTATGATTGGATTGAATTAATTAAACTTGAAATAAATAATGACTTCATATTTCATACGAAATATCAAGAGCAAGAAAATGATCCACGAGCATTAAATGGATATACAAATGAAAATGTAGAAAAAATCTTTCAATATTTAATTAATTATAATCATGAACGTGAAAATGAACAATTTCAAAATCAACTTCAAACTTGTTTAATTTGTACTGATATTATTCGAGGTTTAGATTGTATTCGTCTTCATCGTTGTAGACATTTTTATTGTCGTTCATGTTTAAATAATTATATTCAAATAAATTTAAATAATGGACAATTTGGAGAAAAAATTCATTGTCCACAAAATGAATGTATGAAATCATTACTTCCAACAGATATTAAACAAATTCTTGGAAATAATAATGATTTATATGAAAGATATGAACGATTAACATTACAGCATAGTCTTGAATTGATGAACGATATTTTATGGTGTCCAAGGTGAGATTAAAGCAAATGATTTCAAATATTATTTTTATATTTATTTAGATGTCAACATCCTGTTCTTGTTAATAATGATGCTGATGATAATCTTGCATCGTGTAATCAATGCTATTATACATTTTGTAAAAAATGTAAAGAAATCTTTCATTCTCAAACTTTATGTCGACAAGAATATATAATTCAACAACTAAAACTACAAAAAGAAAAAGAATATCAGCGAATTCAACGTGAAAAAGAAGAAGCTCTTGTAAAACTTGCTCAAATTGAACGAGAGAAAAAATCTGCAATTGAACGAAAAACTGTTGCACAAAAATATCGTCAAATTGTACTTAAATTATCAGATGAACAAGTTCTATTAGAAGAAGTATTAAATGCTGAACGAATAGAATCACTTAATACTCAATATTGTCCAAATTGTCGTGTACGCATTGAAAAAAATGGTGGTTGTTCTCATATGCATTGTTCACGATGTAATCATCATTTTACCTGGGAAACAATAACAAAATCTGAAACTTCGAATAATACTACTTTGATACATAGTTTTAATCAAAATGGTGAACCAATTGAATCTGTCAAAGAAGAATTGAATAAAATAGCAAATATAGGTTAGTAATCAGATTTACAATTCGAAAAACTAAAATCCTTTATGTCTTTTACTTGAAATGCATTAACAACATAAAATTTTGGATAATGAAACTAATAACACAGAAATAACACATTTGTAGTCTTTGTCCAATATATATAATCATTCCATAATAGAGATTTCGTTTGATACAACCATTTTTTATCAAGTTAATCAGACGCTTTTAAATCTAGAATGAAACTACTAATTAGAAGTCGTTAGGTTCAAACTTAAATCGACAGACTATAAAAGATAAACTTTAATATACTATGACCAATAGCGGCGGCGCCAGGAATCTTGACTAGGGTGGGCTCAGGCCTAGTA